ATGAAGGAAACTAAAAAATATCCGATGTAGAACGTTTTTTATGAAATCAAAAACTTACAGAATAAAGTCTAGTATGAATCAATTTTCTGTTTTTCTATCTTTAACAAATCTTATATAGGTTTGTAAAAACTTCTTAAATTCAAATAAAACGTTTCTAGAGTACAAAGTTGCAGAACAGAAGAAATATACTATTTTAAATGCAAGTCGAATATTTATATTAAAAAAACTTTAAGAAATGTTTTACAACGAAAATATAGAATATAAAAGGCAGAATATATGCTCCTCACTGAGAATACGTTTACTTTTAAAAGTTGAAGAAGCATTCACGACAAAGTATAATTCATTTTTCCACCATCTTATCTTAGAAAACTCGAGAACAAGTGACAGATCGAGAGTGAGGATTCTATCAGATTTAATGGATTGTAACCGAACAATGGAATACAGACAAACCTCTTCATTTTAACATTATATGTATAAATCATTTTTAAGGAGAAAGAGAGCACATCTAAAGCTACCTATGATGCGAAGTAATTATTATAACTTTCTATGTCATGGGACAAAAGACATATCATATAAGAAAACGGATGTGCTCATAGCGTAGGGACATTAAATATGTCATCACGAATGCTAAAAACTCAACAACCGTGACATCAAATATTCATGTATACTATGATATCTGAGACATCATATATATACTCTGACATACATAATACTGTGGCATATAATTTTCATATTATTTGTGCATTAAAACTGACCAGCAAACATTCCTAAATAAACATGGAAAATGGGATATCGGTCCATCGACACTTTCAAGATCAGATCACTGACATGACAGGGTGGACCAGTAACTATGATGACACACTGACAACTAAAGTTGTAGTGCCAGCATAATATGGACATTGTGGATTTGAACATTTCACACATCTGTGTACTGTTTTACATCACATTCGTCTATTATCTTCGCAGGTTACAGAAATAACATTGTGATTTCATGTACGTCTTTCTTCCTTAATAACACTCTGATATGGCAAATAAAGGTGTTTTTGTAGTTAATACATGCTAGGGTATCATGTGCGTTACAGTGGTTGAAATTCATAGTAATACAAAAAACAACTGTTGTGGTGACCCATCCTTCAGAGTTTATTTTCTTAATAGTTAGCTGAATTCACTGCCTGAGGCAAATGTGGAATGATTTATCCAGGTTGTTGAAGATATTCATTGTGAACTTAATACTAGCCATCTTAAAATACTGCCTAAAGTTTCTCCTTTGATATTTACTGCCTTTGCTGTTTTTCTAGATCAATACAGTACCACGCATACTTAATAATATTGAGGAGTGGATTCTACGTAGGCTAGAGTAAGGATGCAAGACTTTCATCTGATTCCTTTCTATTAAGATACTGTTTAACTACGTGTGGATTCTATGTAGGCTAGAGTAAGGATGCGAGATTTTCATCTGATTCCTTTCTATTGAATCCACACGTAGTTAAACAGTATCTTTACGTAGGCCACAGTAAGGATGCAAGACTTTAATATGATTCCTTTCTATTAAGATACTATTTAACCACATTTATTGTGTGTTTGGCATTGTTATCATGCTAAAAGATGAAATTTCTTTCGCTAATCGACATCCAGAAGGAAGAGCATTTGGTTACATCGGGAAGAACCCAGAACTCCATCAATACGGTCTAAAAGCTACATGATCCAATTTTCGGAAACATAATGATTGTTAGTTCTGATACTCTTCCTTCTAATATTTTAGAATTTGTTTAAAACAAACATATGATTTGAAGGGTATTTAGATAATTAAGGGTTTTAAATTGGCATTATTACCATGTTTCATCCTGAACACCTTTTACACAGGAGACTGAGCCGTGGTTTCCAATCTATGCACAGTAGTATATATATATATATATGAAATAGATTAAGAAAATATAACTTTTGGTTCTGCTGTTTTAATATTTAGTGTTCTTATAACAATATTTAATTTTAGCATAACTGAAACTTGGCGTTAAGATGTTAAATGGATTGTGTTGATTTGGAAAAGTCGCGAGATTCCTATCGAGGGTTGTTTTTAGTCTCTAGGGGGTTCACTCTAGATTAGATGGTTATAAATGGCCAAAAATATTCAAAGATAATGACAAAATGTAGCTAATTACAGTGTAAAAATTGAATTAAATTAAGATATCGAAATAAAAATCAATTTATATATAAAAAATAACACGAAATGTTTTCGGATTTAGGGGCCTCTTATATTTTAATAAATGGAATTTTTATAATAAAATAAAACATTTTTACTTAAATTATTTGTTCGTAAAATGAAACATTCTTCTGCTTACAACGGCTTTAATTTCCAGGTTATAGGGACTGAATTTCACGTTCCGCTACCCACATGCCCACACTTTAAAAAATATTAACTAATCTTTTCACTTTTACCAAATTTTTAAAGCCACTACGTGTTCTAAATCTTATTGGAAAAATCATAATGATTGACTATTTGATTAACAATCCATAAATGTTAGGATTGAACATAATATTGGAACATAAAACTGGCCGAAGAAGGGCCTGGTGGCTAGAGCCCTCGACACACAATCTGAAGGTTGTGTGTTCGAATCCCGTCACCAAACATTCTTGCCCTTTCAGGTATGGGGATGCTATAATGTGACGGTCTGTTCCACTTTTCGTTGGTAAAGAGTAGTCCAAGAGTTGGTGGTTGATGGTGTTGACTAGCTGCCTTCTCTCTAGTCTATTGCTTCAAAATTAAGGACAGCTAGCATAGATAGCCCTCGAGTAACTTTGCGTGAAATTCAACAAACAAATAAGTGAACAGGTCGAAGATCCACATCTGATTTGGCGGTCATTGAAGGTTACCCATTAATTATTAATATACAACATTTTAAAGCATTTAAAAAGCAAGAAAACTGATATACTAATGTTACTTACCTAATAAGCTTCGCTAACAGTACAGACATGACTGCGATTCCTAGTCCTGTGCCCGATTGGACAAACAGCTCCACTAATTCGCGCCTGCGTTTGAAGTACTGTCCAATCATAATATTTGAAGTTTCTCTAACAATCCCGATTCCACAACCCATGAAAACTCCGTAACTCATAAATACTTGGTGCATTTGAGAGGCAAATGAGGTAAAAAGGCATCCAAGAGCTGTCATTAATCCTCCAATCACCGCTGTGAGTCTGGTGCTCTTTCTTCGACAAACAGCAACAACCACAGGAGGAACGAAAAAGCCACATGACATCGAGAGAGCTCCCGCCCAAACTAGAAAGGTAACATTAACAAGCATTAATTACTCTTCTCTAGTATACAATAACTCAGTAACAAGTCTTTTATTCTGTTGTGACGATTCTAAATCCAAGCGAAACATTTTACTAGCGTTTACCTTTAAAAACAGGTTACGTAAAAGACGCCCAAATATTTTGCTCTACAGTTTAGATTTTTTTTCCTCCTAACAAAAATAGGTTTTACGGTTCTCTTTTGTTCTTCAGATGGCTTGTTTTAGATATTAAGCTAAAGAAATGTAAACCGAAAAAATGATTAATACATTCTCAAACAAAATGTTTGTGAGGAGCAAATCAATCAAGATATAAGACAAATAAGTAAATATGGCGAAAAGCTACCGTGGTAGTGAAGACCATAAACACAAACGTATCGTTTATGTCTCCGGAATATCGAATTAGGCGGTGCATAAAAAACAAAAGAGAAATCTAAAATTCCAAAAATTAATTGTATAATATGATTTTTAATCGATATCAATAGAAAAAGTAGAAGATATATAACAAGCATTGTTTGATTGAACGCTATAAGAATTTCAATGTTGTTTTTATTACCAGTGACACAGAGGTTTCTTCTGTAACGTACAAGACAAAAGTAGAAGTTATATAACAAGCATTGTTTGATTGAACGCTATAAGAATTTCAATGTTGTTTTTATTACCAGTGACACAAAGGTTTCTTCTGTAACGTACAAGACAAAAGTAGAAAGTATATAACAAGCATTGTTTGATTCAACGCTGTAAGAATTTCAGTGTTGTTTTTATTACCAGTGACACAAAGGTTTCTTCTCTAACTAACAAGACAAAAGTAGAAAGTATATAACAAGCATTGTTTGATTCAACGCTATAATAATTTCAATGTTATTTTTTATTACCAATGACATAAAGGGTACTTCACTAACGTACAAGACAAAAAGAGAAGGTGGCCAAAAACATGTACCGTGGGATTTGATTCATCTGAGATATTCAGAACCACTATATCAGTCATGGCGTGTGAAAGGTTATTATTTGACGCTTAAATATAGACTGAATATTGAATATGATTGAATATTGGGATTTGACAGTCACTCTTATAATGCACCCACACGCCCAAAATGCGAAGCGCGATGCCTCTCGAATTCGCAGTCCTGGCATGTTAAGCACCCAAGCACGCACTGTTATGCCAAGGTACTTATCTCTGTGCTATACTCTCTAATACTAGTATTATTGCAGTTCTTTTCTTACACTTATCGGAATATTTAGCTGTAAAGAGTGTCCGAACTTTAATGTAGTTGATGCACAGTGACTTAACATTTTATGCATCTTTTTTTGGCTTAAGTAAAGTGATTCTATAAACAGATTATAGTTTGACGTTTATATTTATATTGTTATGCTAACATTTAAAGACACGTTTAGGCCATTTTGTAAAAAAAGAGAAAAACAGTCATGAATCGATCCAGCATGCTGCAGGCTATTTCTTTAATGTAATAAAAGTTCTACAAGGTGATTAGAAAACAAACTTTAAAACACAGAAGTGTGTTACAACTCATTAATTTGGGATTGATGTTAATAATATTCATCTACTAGTGGTTATATTGCTGTCTGTGGATAGGAAAGTCCAAGGCTCGAGCCGCGAGATGCTGCTAAACGTGTTCCATACTTTCAACTGTGGGGATGTTCTAACTGTGACAGTCAATACCGCTTTTTCGTTTAAGAGTGACCACTTAGAAGGCTGCTGATGCTAAATGACCAGCAGCTCTAAACTGGGAATAATGGCTGAACCTTAACAAGGGCTTGTCCAGCTGTTTAGCTCATGTACTGCACAAACACCGAAATTTTCTACACAGCTGTGCAATGTTTTGGCAATATTTGAATTAGTATTTTTTATACGTGAACACAGGCATACAGCCTGTAAAAACTGTGAAAACTTAGTTAATTAAAATTATCATACTTTTATATAGACAAAGCTGTAATAGCTTTAACTACTTTTATACCACATTACCAAATTTAGTTTCTAACGTATGCATTTTTGAAGTTAAAAAATACGAAATAACCAATTTATTTTTTGGTATGCTATGTGTGCAGTCTTTGTTTTACAATCCTAGCTTATTTAGATGCTTTGTTTCGGAACTACACACAGTTAAATGTATGTTCAGCTGTGAACTTGTTAAATGCTTTAACTGTTTTGTTTATAAGTTCGTTACATATTTCAAAAGCGTTGCGATTTTACATAAGGTTCTGTAATATCTTGTCTATTTGTACTTCTCCTCACACGTGTTTTTGTCAGACGAGGGTATTTGAACAAAGCACGTGTATCACAGCAAACAACTATAGGTTACTACGCGTATAGCAAGTATAGTTCTCTTGAGATTTAACCACCCTAAAGCTGATACGTAGATTACAAAACTATGTTTTTTCTTTTATCTCAGACATTTACATTTTAACAATATTTCTGAATAAGTAAGACTATACATTTACTTTTCTGTTCAAAGTGTTTTAATTTTCATTGCTTCACAATATTTATATAGGACTGAATAAACGTACACATTAACAAAGAGCGATTATTTATAGTTTCATAAATACGTTGAAAGGTTGATAACATGGTAGGAGGAGCACCTATTGATAAAGCATGCTAAATTTATATATAGAATTCAGATTGCAAGGTCTAGTTGAATACATTAGCTCTATAAAAACAATCAGAGGATATCTAATTTGACAGAAACTAAAAGCAATTCATAATACTCTGACTTGTTTTGTTTCTCAAAACCACCAGTCTCTTGGACTTACAATGACAAAATCTGGCGTTCGATTCCCCGCGGTAGACAGAGTACAGATAATCAACTGTTTAACTTTTATGCTAAAACAAGATAATGAAATTCTAACGTTTAGCATTCAAATATCTGTTTTTATTTAAAAAAGAAACTTCAGAATTAATACTGCACATTTTGTTGAATGGAAACGTCCATGACGACCAATTAGAAGATGAACCTCTCTGTGAAGTATACGATTCATTTAGAAATTAAGAATAATACTTTTCATACATACAGTGCTTATAAGATACAAATATGTTAAAACACTTTAGAGTAGAGTTAATTCGACACCAGTTTTTCAGATTTCTTATAAATTTCTTCATTGTAGGTGAATAATGAACATACTTCAGATACCGGTATTTTGAACTTATTTGTGAAATTACTCAGTCTTGTGATAAAAGAAAATTAGAACGTTAACTTGCCAAATCTTGCAGACATTTTAATCTGTGGCGAATAAGTTAATATTTCAAGTAATTCTGTATTTTAATATACTTTATACTAATGACGTTTCTAGAAATTAGAATTTCCACCTAATACCTGGTTGGACATTAGTCTATTAGTTCAAAATAGGGACGGCTATGGGCAGACAGCCCTTGTTTAGCTATGCGTGAAATTCTGAAATAAACAAAACAAACCAATACAACTTTGCTTCCCGTTAAGACTGCTGAGTCAATGAATAAGTCACTGCGAGTCAATGACTAAGTCTTTCTTTTTGGGATTCTGAATTTTATGATTTCATTGTGGATCGATGAATTGTGGCTCAATCGAAAGTTACTGGTAGTTCTATCAGGCGTTACTAATTAAGGGGATCCATTGAAACTACACTGTCATTGAGCGTTACTGATTACGATCAACATTAAAACTGTATTAGGTAAGAAACATACAGCTGTTTGTTATCTTTTGGATGGTACAGTTCATACGACTTTAACAAAGCTCTCCATCCATCCCTTGCTTCAAGCTATATTTTTATCTGAACAATCGCTGTTCTGGTAAAGATAAAACGTCTCCGCTCCACAAATGATGAATCGCATCGCCAATGTCTTTAAGTCTACCAATTATTAAGCTACGAAAATATATTTTTTCATACTTCTGTAGATTTTATCACGAGTTGAAACTCTTATAATCAGAAAGGTTTTTCCGCCGAAAGCTACTTCGTAATTCTACTTTTCGCCGCTGGAGGGGATAAACTAGCAATGATGTGTGAGGTTACAATGTGACAACTGTGATTTGAGATTTTTTGTTCGTATTCGATTGCAACAAATACTTAGGTACAGTCGGTTGTTGAAGGCTAATGACAAAGTATTTTTTGGACTTATATTCGACAAACATCTACATTATGAAAATATTGCTGTAAATATTTTCATAAAATCTTAAGAACGCTCTTGTAAATTTCCCCCTTTTTCCTGCAATATTTTCAAACAAAGAAGACAGTTGAAACCTTCAAACAGATTTGTTTTTTTTATTTGATTTATCCACGTTTCGATTTCTTTTTTATTCTTTATATTAAAAACATCCCTAAATCTTTAACAGACAGAAAACAGAACCTATATTATGAGACACAGAACTAGCATATATAGCTATAATTTGTATAGAATGGGCCAGGCATGACCAGGTGGCTCGACTCGCAGTCTGAGAGACTCGAGTTCGAAACCTCCTTACGGAGCATTCTCGTCTTATATGTTTACTGACTCTTTAAGATAAATCAAACGTATTAATTAATAGCCAGTCATTTGAGGTGTTAATGAGTTTTATTTTTAACTAGCCAGATTTAACCTAAAGTAAGTACACAACAACACAATATCTGAAGGATGGCCGATTGTAATCTGCTATACAGAAGTGTTTTCTTTGACGCTTTATCTAAATATGCTCATCTCTCTCTTTATACTAACTTACTACATAACAAAGGGTAAACCTAAAGATGAATGTTTAGTTTTCCACCACTAAGTGGCAGTTTCATTACAAATTATAATAATTTGAACATAAATAACACGGGTTAATTGAGGGTAAGAGATAACAATGGTTTGACGATTCAAAAGCCAAGAACAAGAAAACGAAGACAAGATTACGTAGGTGATAACATATGACTTATCTTGTTAAGAAATGATAAGTTGTATGACATATTTCTCTGTTGTTGTTTTTTACCAGCGACTATAATGGAATGAAATGTGTCATTACATATCTACACATTCTTTAAAATA